TACACAACAGCAAACAAGATTTTAGAGAAAGAAGCTAGAAAAACTTATGTATGTATTTAGGTATTTTTATTTAGGTATAAGGTGAATACAGCTTGGTTTGTGTTTTTTTTCTATACTGGGTCACAGTAACCAAACAAGCAAGAACACTTTCCCCTCAAAACTTTACACATTAACACAGCATGTTGATTGCTTCTACTGTGTTCTAAACCAGAGCAATGAATCAATGATTACATACACTTTTTTGCATATAATAGGTTGATTAGATTTCCATTTCTATTGCTTCTACTGTGAGGGAATAAGATTATGTTCCATCTAGATTAGTCAACTGCAATAGGCTATGTGTGCAATTAAATACAGTTACAATTTTAATACAGATTTGTTGTTTGGTAAATATGAGGACGAAACTTTGGATAACTCTAAGACTACCAAAAAGCATAGTTTCAATTTATTCTGAATTTTGTCTTTCTAATTAAAGATGTTTGTTGGCATTGACCAACTTTTTTGACATAGCTCTGGTTTATAGAAATATTAGTAGTTGTAGTAGTGGTTAGTAATTGTATTGACACAGTACAATAGGATTTAATTTAGACGGTTAAGAAACAATATTTAGAGATTTCATTCACAGATTTTGACAAATTTAATGTGAAATACCTTTCCCAATTGAAAGAAAATTACTTTTATAACTCTGGATAGTTTTCTGCTTTTGTCATTTCTCAATTAACAAAGCAGCACATAAATGAATGGTGATTGTACATAAAAGGGTTAGATTTTTAAATGTGGTTTAAAATGTCTAAAATGATCATAATAAAAAAATGTATGCTAATTGCAGTATCTATTAAATTATTAGTTATTTGTGGATTTCACTTCATTTTACAGTCAGTGATGATCGACATGTACACTGTAGAACCTCAGTATTTAATAGCACGTGACACAACAAACACATCCACGTTTGAGTTACTCACACGACTGACCTTTGCTGAGTTTTCTCCAGCGTTAATATTCAACTCAAACCATACAAAAATGGTTGACATCTAGTCAGACACGGACTTGCATAAATAAACAAAACAACTAACCAAACAAAGAAAAAACCCTCTTACTTTTTCAGCGCGATCGGACAACAAAGAGTGAGCTAAAGCACTGTAGTTAATATTGGTGTGATAAACTAAGTACATCCCAAAGTAAAAAAACAAGGAAGCTGCATTCTAAAAAGACTGGACATTTTTGGGGTTCAAATGGACACTCACCAGGAACCTTGTCGAGCTCGTGCCCTGGTCAATGGCAGCAACCAGTGGTTCCATCCTGATAATCGTGATACTTGAGAAAATGTTAAATGAAATAATTTAAGAGGAGGCGCTGAACCACAAGCCTGACCCCTTTCCTGCCAGGAGCGTCTCCTTTTCCACCATATACAGGCGGAGTGACTCCAACAAGTGGGCATGCAACGATTACGATTCTTACAATTGGCTGCTGGCTCGTAGGTGTCCTTCAAGCGTCGACCAATCAGGTTGGGGGCAGGATTGATCATTGGATTGGAAACCCCTTCCAAACCGTTGATCCTTAACCCCTTGTAATAAACTTTAACTAGTTGACGAGAGTCTTTTTTTGTCTATATTGCACATTTGTGCACCCATCTCCCTTTTTAGTTCAGTCACCACAAAAAAATGGTGTTTTGTTGTTATCAAAGTTTTTTTGGGGTTAAAACTTGTCAAAACAATGGTTTAAATTTTATACCAACACTAAGTTTTATTGTGATATACAGTTGGTTTTCTAAGGTACCTCTGTGTACCTAAGGTAGGTAAGTAGATCATCTCTGACTAGGAAAAGAAGTGAGATTGAGGTGTAAATGTTTAAACATAGAGTGCGCCTAACAGCAAGACGGCTTCTGATTTGAATACCCGGGAGACTGACACTTATATGTGGGGAGTTTGCATGTAAAGGGTAGGGGTATCTTGTGTGCTTGTGCAATACTGCTGATAGCTTTACAATTTTCAATCAGGCACATAACACCATGAGGCCACTTCTTTGAGTGCCACATTAGGTATTAAATTCAAAGCTACAGTAGATCTTATCCTACTTTTCTCCACACTTCTTCCTAAGTAAGATTTTTCTTCTCTACACCTTCCCAGTTCAATCAATGTCCACGTTTAGCCTAAGCCATTGCCTTTGTATCCCTTCAACATTTCATCCTGTCCACAAACCTGCTCGAGAAGAACCATTCATTTCTCTTTGGGTCCTGCAGTGACACTGTTCTTAAACATGAAGGAAAACCTAGCCACTACCCTAATGTAAGAGCTAACCGGACTCTCCATCTGCACACCAGCCTCTGCCAACCTGTTAAGAAATGTGCTATACTTAGGCACAGTCCAATGTCCTGGAAATTAACAACGACGACAGGCACTCTAAAATAACCAAATGCTTTCCAAGTAAGGCTATGTAGCATTGAACCAAATCCAAACTCAGTCTTTACATATTCTTTTATTCTTTCTCTTTTCTCCTTCTGCCTAGTACTGCTAGCCTGCTCCTCAGCTCTTCCTGCAAAACACGAGTCTCTCCCCTTGGCTTTTTTTCCACTGATTTCTTAACTTAATTTTTCTTTGTCGCCTTAACTTGAGGTACTCTCTTAACCCTCTTAATATCTTGCACCTAAAATATTTCTACACCATACGAATAAATTATATCGCCCATTCTTCGCTGCTTTTTGCCCTAGTCCACTTAACTCTAGATTTCTGTTCCATATTTCTCTCTCTGACTGCGCTGTTCACCTCATTATCACCTGCATCCCTTCTTAGCGCATCCATAGCTGTGTTGTTGATATCCTTCGGACTGTGGTTTTCTACCTGGACTTAATCTGACATACTCCGACTTCTTAAGAAGAACTGATCGATGGGGCCACAATACCCCCCTTTTACAACAGAATTCTTTCTTCCTTGATACATTTTAAGGCCTCTGACAGAGAACATACTCATACATAACATATAATTCTGTTGTTATATAATTTAAGCAACTGGAAACAATATTCATCTGAATACATGTAAGATTGTGTGGTCTAGGGTCTTCAAAGTGAGTGAAACAAACTGCATAAATCACCAGGTTCCAGCGTTTTCTGAAGAAATTTATTTTATTTTCCTCCTCTGAACATCCATCTGCTCTCTCTCCCAGCCTCCACAAACACTGTTTTTTTTAAAAAGCCAATTGGCAACACAGCTGCACATAAGTGGGCCAAGCCACAATCAAACAGGTAAAAACGAAACAAAGACAAAGTCTACACAGAAACAAGAATAATATTAATCTAATTTACAAACTCAACCTAATGAAATAATGTACAAAATAAACCCTGCCAAAGAAGATAACTCAAAAGTTACTTTAAAGAAAAACAAACAAAGCAATACTAGAAAACCCTCTAATTGGTAGATCCCAGCAAGGTAATCAGTGACATCATTCAGCCATTTAACAGGAGACACTGGGCCGGCCACTCCCACACTCCAGACCTGCTGCAAAGCTACAAGGGAGAATGGTAAGTAAAAAGAAACACAAATACCAAGAATATACAAGTTCAACCAATAATTCAAAAGTGGTAGCTTTAAACTAAACATATAAATAGATGGAAACTGCAACACAATATCAACACAAACAAACCCGGGATAGTAAATGAAGCAAGGTTGCACTAATGTTTAAATCTAAGCATTATAACCCATTACAAAAATAAATGTATCAAAATAATAATAAGGGACAAATGGTGAACATACACTGAACCACTTTGTCACAATACATTTGAGTCTATCATTTCTAATAACCAAAGAAATCACAAATCTAATCAATAGAATGCTAATAAAATTTGTGTTACACTATGTAACGAACAGGAACCGAGGACGCAGAATTCAGCCAGACAGCGATAGAGAGCATTTTATTGGGACGTTAACTACTGCAGGTCACCGGACAGGCACAGGGTCAGAACCATGGTGGCAGAGACAGGCATGATGAGTCCAGAGTCCAAAAGCAGGTGATCAGAGATCCAGGAACAATCCAAAGCGAGTCAGATATACAGACAAACAGACAGACAGACAGAGGATCTGGTCCTCATCTGGCTGATGAGAATGGGGCAGAGCTGCACAGGTGAGTCAAATGATTGATCAGACCAGCACCAAGATCAAGACAGGTGATTGTATACTAATTTGGGCTTATCATGAACTCTATGACGCCCAGTTCATCTTTGACCTTTGTGACACTGTCTGTGAATAAACAGTTGGTTTAGCAATAAAATAACTTTTTTTTCGATTTAGTTATAGATATAAGATTGATATTGTCAAGTTCTTCATTGCAAAATGTTGAATCTATTACTGGTATACACAGTTAAAATTTAAAGTGCATACAACAGTCAGTTGTTCACTGAGAGCCGGCTGCCATCACCAAGTTTTTCGGCTATCCACAAAATCTTAGTTAACATCCAGCTGCCAACAAATGTCCTTAGTGGGTTCCAGATTTGTTGCAAGCAGAGAGGGATCGAATGGGAATATAACAATCCCAGATGAAACCTGAAACAGCTGCTGAGGAATCTGAAAGGAGAGAAAGTGTACCAATCCATGAAACTCCAAAGCTGATGGGTAAAATCTGAAACCAAAGTGAAAAAGCAGACCGTGGACTGTAATACCTTTCCAACTGTGTTCTTCCACCTCATGTATGAATAGTCTTTGTTTCCCTTGTCTCATTAGCAGGTCGCCATGTGTGTTCGTCAAGGAATCTGGTTGTGTAGATTTCAAGTCAAGAGTCGTTCTTTGATCACAGTGAGCACTTTTCGTCATTAGAATAAATCTTTTTCAACTTATTAGTATGAGGCTTGCATTTGAGTTCACCTCCATCCAATTTAATCACAGAACAAACAGTCCAAATAAATAGACTCAGCAGACTCTTAGAAGATCCAAATGAACCTTTCTCTGCAGGGTATGAGGGTCCAGCAGCACAGGAACTAGCTTAGAACAAACACTAGCTGTGCTCCCATTTCCAAAGGTTGACTCAGCACCATATTTGGGCCAGAGATACTAGCTGAGGATAAAATTATTACATCACCGAGGACTAGTATAATTCATCCTTTCTCATCGTTAGTGCAGGTTTCTTTTTTGTGGGTAAGAACAACGGTTCACCTTGACCATGCATTAACTATAGCTGAATGACATCACATTAGAGCACTGAAGCCTACTCCCTTTAACTTGTCTGCTTGTGAACTACTCCAGGGTGCCCCAAGTTTTGGTCCAGATGTGACTGTATCCTTGAAGTGCCTTAACAGTTAATATTTTTTGCTACATAATTTTAACCGATTTAATCTGAAATGAAATAATCCTGTAACTGTTAAAACAGCTTGACAAAATCTTGACACTTAAAGATGATTCCATTAGTCATTCTGTGGGCAGCTCTTCATCCTATATTTTATTTATGTGGACAAGAGGAATCTGGAATGAGTTGACATAAAAATACACTAGGGAGGCATGACAGTGTTCCCAGAAATGTAATTAACCTTTCAGGAACTGGCAGTCCCAGACATCCTTACTGTTCCAGAATAGTAATCTATGGTCTGAGGAGACTTTGCCAAAGTAACAAAACAATAAAAAAGACAATTTTTATGATTTTGCTTGTTTATTCAATTTTAATATGTGATTTAGAATGACAGATATTTAAAACATAACTGATGCAACTGGTGTAAAATGTAAGTAACTAAGGTTTCTTTTAGTCACAAGGCACAAAACTTTAGTGGGTTACGCTGGGTGTAAATCTCCCTTCTCTTAATACCCACAGCAAGCAATCCTGGTCTTAAAAGACTTCAGTCTCTAATTTTCTTTGACATATGTAAAACCTTCCCCAATATTTGAGCTAAGACAATGAATGTAGAACTATCACAAGGACACAGCAGAAGTTTAATTTAGTGTAATGCATTTAGAAAAATAATGAATTCAATAAGTAGAATAAACTCTTGCTGTCTAAAATGGTTTAACAAAAAATATTATCCATGCAACCCACGACTCTTTTAGCAGTACAGCACTTTTTAAAATCCACTTTAAAAACCTTCTTGCCACCAAGCTTCACTTGCAAGACTCCCTTTACAATCTATTCACATTTGTTGAGAACATGACATCTCATCTTAGTCATAGACATCCAGACAAAAATCATAAATAACTGGCAACACTATGGCAGTATGCAGTATGATATTATCTAGGAATTAATTAATTGAAGTACCTGTGTCTAGTGTGTACCCCACCTCTCTATCAATTGTAGCTGGGATAGGCTCGAGCCTCCCGGAAACCTTACTAGGAATTATTAATATGGAAGTGAAACTTTACGTCTGTGTCAATGGTTCAGATCATTTTTTAATGATATTTCAATGAAAACATCAATATACCAGTCAAAAGCTACAGATAAAAATGACTCACAGAGGAAGAGTAGCT